CAATATCCTTCTTACGGTCGGGTAAAAATACAAAAAATACACTTTAATATATAATTTAAACGTATATCAATGTATCTACTAACTAAACTCTATGACGACGAGCCTCTCTCGACGCTAGGTAAATGAAACTTTTTTTACTAGTCAGTAATAAACTATCAAAAGTGAGCTTACTTTAGAAATATGACATGACAGAACTCGAATCGATTAATACAGAGTCATTCAATACATTTAAAATTGATTTTATATTACTAGTGTGCCACGAGGTAAGAACTTGCACGAATTTAGAAGACGCAAAAATACATGACCTTGCAATGCACACATCTATGTATTTAAAATGCTAAATAAAGTACCTGTCTCTTCAGAAAATAGACGCGTGATCTTGTGTCAGTTAAACCGTCTATAACGATTTACGACATTTATATAACCAAGCAGGAAAAAATTGTGTTGAGATCAACTCATTGAAGAGTTCTTCAAACGACCGATCGCCGGTGTGCTAACGACTCTAGAGAAATCATCAATTTTCGACCATTACGACACATGTGCGGATATGTAAATATATCTTTTACGAAACCTTTATTCATCGTAACTATGAACAACGTTATAATCACGGACGCTGTACCTAAAGGAGTTAAATAAATATATATAAATGATTAAAGTTGATTTTTTTTTAATTTTCTGTTGTATTCGATTCTGCCATCAACTTTACACATCGCACCTTTAAAGTAAAACTGTTATTAAATGAAAATTACTAAAAAGGAATATTATTTTAGGCTTTTTTAATAGTCAATTCATGTAAATAAGTACTCAATTCAATGACGTTTTTACTTTGGCGTGACATGTTACCAGGGTCTAAACTAACTTATACGTGCACCCTCCGTACGAATTATCATCCAGATCTATCCAGCCGTTCTGATTTTATGATTTTAATATTTTTTAAAGTATCATATACTTTAAAAAATATAAGTCTTAGTAGATACTAATAGAAAAGATTAATCTGTATAGTATCGAAATCTTAATATCTATCTAGTCAGACGACCTAATTATTAAAGCAATAAAAATAGTCTCTACAATAACAATTAGCATAATTAATAAACACTGAGTCTATCTATTAATAAATTATCTCGTACAATATAAATACGGAACTAGCTCTGTCCTCTATATTAATTTTAGCTGCGCAAATGTAATAACGAATCAAGTTTGCCTTACGGCCTACTGAATTAAAACTGGATTATTAAATCTTCGCTTACGATAAATATTTCAAGGGCATGTAATTACAAAGAGTATTTTATAATCTGTGGTTCGATGGTCTATGGTGGATCACCTTGACGGGGGATTACTAATGTTGGTACTTAAGTTGGTTATGTTGGCATGTTGGGCATCCCACTTGTACTCCTACCTATGTATGTAGGTACGTTCGTTCGTTTAAATTAATTGTTCTATATTTGAACAAATTCGTTTGGTTGGTAATCGCCTCGTGGGTAGAAATTGTGATTGTAATTTGTTGTTATTATAGCTTTGTTGTTTTGGCTAGGTTTTAAAGTAGTGTGTAGTTATAGAATAAATTCAGCAGATGTTAAAATGAATGTTGATTTATAGACACGACCTCAGAGCTTATTTGTTGACATTTAATTTTAGGCTAATATGAAGGTGTTTATTATTTTATAAAAAGATACATATATACATAAATAATATTTACTGTTATTAGCATTAATTTTTACAAGTTTTTATTTCTTTTTTTGTTATTCTTGGCCTTTTGGTTCGCATCGGTGATGATTAATGTTTAAAAGCTATCATTTTAAAGCTATGTAGGTACCTACATGTTACATGAGCGGAGTAAATAAGATCCATTCAAAGGACATCTACAAGGAAAAATCCTTTACAAACTAGTTACATGTCTATTTAAAGTTAAACCTTATTGCTATAGTAATAAAACCAGATTGAACAAAAACATGTTGTAGCTAAAATATTTTAATTTTTGCGTACGGTTTTTTTTTCTTTCACGACATAGGTACTTTAATGGGCCTGACACGACATTAGGTTGTGATTACATTGAGGCAATAAGCGTTTTTTGCGACATCTGCATTACACAGGAATGCATATAACATTTTAAATTGCACTTTAAATGCGAGAATTGTAATGAAATATTTGTCATTTTAACTTGTACACCACAATATGTAAAACATTTTAATTTTTTCAAAGGCAAACTGCATTGCTTAATTTGTTAGGGTCTGGATGTCTGGAAGACTGGGTGTACGTGTGTAAAAATAATATTATTGTTATGTTTAGGGGAAAATCGTGTTCCTACAGTCGGGTAAAAATCTTAGTACCGACCATGATTTCTGTAATTGTAAATCTCCCCTAATATTTATAATGCAATGTATGCTTAGGTACAATCTACTTTAATCTCAGTAATTTAAGAAGAATACGCGACAAAGATGTCAACAACATCGCACGTCTCATTCAAATAAACGAAGACACATTTTGGTATTTGCGCGTCACAAAAATTCAAATATTTATCGCACATGGTGCATTGAAACTGCATTTATATACAATGAGTCATTACGACAATGTTAATGAAGTAAGGTGTGCCAATGACGAACTGCAACGACCTCGTGATTATAATGTTATTAAGATATGAATCAGAAGCAGGTACTGGAATCTACTTCATCATTGTCACGCTTAGATAGACTCTAGTTAATTGTGTATTAGACAAACAGATGGTACATAAGACAACCATAACACTCATTGAATAAGAACAGTTTTATTACTAACGTGTACTGTGGCAGTGGCAGTCCACTGTTAAGCTATGAGCCTTCTTCAGATTAGAGTCTGTCTCCCATGGGGGTAGGCAGAGACTAAGGAACGCCAATTACTACGATTCTTGCATACCTCTTTCGTTTCATTAACAGTCATCAATCTTTTCATGCATGCTCGTCGGTAAAGGGTACTTTTAATTTGGCCCTTCTTTAATATATCGCCAATCTGGTCACTATATGTCCGTCTAGGGCGCCCTCTATCGACGGCCCCATTCATATCCGCTCTGTATACTTCTTTCGTTGCTCTACTTTCATCCATCCATTCTACATGTCCAAACCAGCGAAATCAAACCAGAATATTAATTCCAACTAGTTTAATCATATCTTATCTCATGGTCGTTATGAATAGTATAAATAAGTCTGTACCATACACAATTGTATATCTTCGGCATAAATGGAAACTTCAGCCAAGTAGAGGAAAAAAATCAATAAATTTTAAAGATCTCTAAAAATTCTGTTCTACTCCGTTTTATTGACTACACTTCACAAACTAAAGCTCAAAGCCGTACTTGAAACTAACGAAACTGTATTTCGAATTGAATGAACCTTAATATGGGAACGAGGCTACTTACTGTGTCTATGAATATTTATTTGACATCAATAACCCGTGTGTGAAGGCTAAAATAAATATATTTCGTTCAGATATTTGTTGAGTGCATTAAAAGTTAATGTAACTAAGTATTAAAATATTCTAATGGTTTTCTAGAATACCCATAAAGTCGAAGCTATGACCAAATCTTTTTACCTCTCTTAGGTCCATTATTGATGAACATTATGGTACTTAATTCCTAGTCCAGGTAACTTTTACGTAGAACCTTTGTAATGCAGGTGTAGAGACTCCGCGAATAATTTAAATACAATTGGTATTTTGAGCACATCATTCCACCTGACTTGGCAACCAATTAACTACCTTTATACCTACGCTTAGTGGGTCAGTACGGACCTTACGCTTTTGCATATAACCTTTATTATCCGATTGAGTAATGAGGAGTGTCTCAAACCAGTTAGCAGTTCCGAAATGTATGAAAATAGGACTTGATTCGCACCCACATTAATATGTGGGTCTAACGTGTTGTCTATTGTCTACTATTTGTTTTATTAAGTCAGTAACTAAATATTCAAAGGAACCATAAACAAACTCTTCAACACGAATACTGTTCTAAAATCAAAACAACCGCCAAATTGAAAATTAGACATAGACAAAATGAAATACAATGACAGATCTTTCCGCTCCGCTCATCACAAACCTCTAGCGTCACGCTCAGTTACAGAGCCAACCGACCGTGGAATACAAAGCAAGAAAAACACTGATATTATCCGAATATGTTTAATAAATAACAGATTTCACCTAATGCTTTAATCATTTGCTAATTGACTTTAAATCAAAATCTAAATGTCAAACTCAAGTTGTTTATGAATAGGCAGAATCAACAACGCAGTTGTGTTTTTTTTTAGATAATGGTTGCTCTGGTGCATAGGTATGCAGTCTTGAGTCGTACCGGTTGTAGATTATATAACGATCTATACTTTTTTTACCTTTCATTTTAAAATAAGAATTCATCTTATTTATGCTTCGAAGAATTAATTCAATGTATAATTTAGCAATAAATTCTTTTCATAAACAAAAACAACTACAACTAGAAAGAGAGTAAACTCTTAAATGCAGAGAGCACATTACAATGCAAATGAGATAGAAATTATTTACGTAACAATTTTAAAGATATTTTGACTAAAAACTAGTTTTCTGTTTTCTCCAACTGGTGAAGAAACTTGTTATGAGTTTACGGCCTAAAGACGATACCATCACAAACTTTAGGCAGGTACAAAATTTCCATAAACAAACTAGAATCTGTAAGGCAGTATATTACATAATTTAATATGGAATCACAAAACTAATCAGACTTTGATGCTACAAGGCTTGCCTAGAAAAAACAAAAAATCCAGGTATATTTTTTTTAGAAAGAAAAAACATATAACTCCTGTATTTTACGAAATACGAAAATGGAATACCATTAAAAACCTTTTTCATTTGTCACGAAATCTGTCCTACGTTACGATAAAAACGATTACATCAAAATTTAAATTTTAAATTATGGTGATTTAGCATATTTATATAATATTATGATGTTGGAATTCAAGTTCCTACACGTGATTTGAATAAATTAATATTCACGTTGTCCAACCATGGTAATTCGTTTAAAAACTTACCTATTTTCTTAATATAGAAAAAAATCGACAATGAATTTTAAATAAACATGCATAAACATGTATGAATAAAAAAAAACTGAATGACTTCGAATGTCTCAAAATTGCAGCATTATACAGCGATATCACACTAATAAAATTTTGGCAATAGCGAATATGAAATTGCAAGTCATAATTGCTAATGTTTCATTATTCTAAACATTAAAATACGGATGTGAATAATTTAATCCGATACGTGAACAAACAGTTGGTAACTATGTAGGTCATATTTTTTAATTCACAAGTCACTACATTCAACCGCAAAGGAAACCGCATACAGCCTCATGTTTCAACTTCTATGAGAAATAAACCCTTAACCGCAATCAATGTTTGCCTTCGCAGTGATTCGCGCCATTAGATTTTCAACAACGCCAATTTTAGCAGCCACAGATAAACCATGACCAATTTCGTAAAAACACAGACACTGTGAAAATTAGCGATTAGTGTCGGAAAAAATGTGTATCCTTATTTCGACATTAATTGCTACACCAAATTCAAAGTATTAGCTTTAAAATATGGTGTTAAGATCGTAGGGGTCATTCCTAATTTAAGCTATGTGCCCACAAACAGTAAAGCTTTCAGTTAAGCTTGTTTGCACAATTTATAAATGTCTTCACTTGAACAAATATTACGCAATTCAAAGTTTACTACTAAGTAAACTTTGCATAATATAATCACTTAAGGATATTGTGACGACCTTACGAATAGATATACAAACAAAGCTTTTATATGATTTAGTTGTTAATAATAGGAATGTAAAGTGGTATTAGGTTTTGTAACGAACAACATTCCATTCAAGGCAAATGTCTGCAATACAACTTTATTTTAGAAAATCGCATTTAAAAATAAAAGTTTTACTAACCGTTTATTTTGTCCACAGGCTGCAAAGCGCAATTTCCTTCGCCGCACAAAAGCCACCGCACCTCCAGAAACCACGGAGACGGAAACCAGCACAGATAAAATAGAAACCACCACAAACAGATTCACTAGACGCGGGAACTCCAAATTCAAATCGCGAAAAGAAGCTGAACTCGAGAAAAAAGGCGCGACTGCGAAAAATGAGGTTGAAAATGCTTCGCGTCGGCCATCTTTGAACGGCGGCGCGCGGCGTAGTGAGCGCCCGACTCGCAAGTTTGTTCGACTGCGTGGAGGGGCAAACGGTGAGTCCGGTTTTGCTTAGCTATTTGTGTGTTTATTTTCTGCAGATTCTATCATAGTTTCCATGGAAAGCTGAAGGGAAATTTGCGGTGAAGCTGGTTGCTCGTTTACCTATTAGGTACAGCGATTTGACATTGCAACTACACTTTCTAACCCGTTTTCAAGGTTGGTCAACGTCCCCCTTATTTTGCGAACCTGATCGTAGAGACATGATTTCATCTCTCTATGAAATAAGAAAAGCAACAGAAAAATAAAAGCAGTCTTTACTGGGATATGAAATTTTTTATACAAAACAAAACAAGACGTATGAACGCCACTAGAAAAATAAATTGACTGCCAATTTTAAACGTTAAAAGTGCTAGATACCTGCTATTTCATGGAAGCCCTTACTCATAGAGTGGAAATCGAAGGTCGATGCGATTGACTATCGTCACGACTCCATGGTGTAATGGTAGCTATACAACCTACAACGTTACTAACTTTAGAAGGGAAGCCTCGATACTTGGCACTCTTGGCAGTTAACACTATAGGACTTTCGCGAAAAAGACACATAATTACTTTCTTTATTTAAAAACCTAATATTAAAACTTCTATGCTATAAATAGTGCAAACAAAATATTTGTGGTGATGTTATTATGAATACAAATGACCCGCTTGACCGTACTCGATCAATATCCTCTTAAAAAAGGTGCAAAAACTATGACATTTTGCAACATAATAAACCTGTTTTGAGTCGACACTCACTTTTGTACAGATGTTAGTCTAGTTAATAGAAAATGTTATCATTCAAACTCAAAAGATGAAACTATTATCAGCCCTGCATAGTCTGAAGCTAGACTACTGTGCGCTCTAAATTACTTACTTTTGTTTTAAATATTGTTTTTCAGTAAGCAGATTATGTATATGGTTCTTCGTGAGAAATAAAGATATTCTATACCTAAACCTGATTACAGCCCTTTGCCATAACCAAGCCTGGCTGTTGGATTGAAGACCGCAGCTTAAAAATTCCATATTTATCAGAGAGTACTGTCCAATCACTTGTTTGTGTACTTAGTCCCTTATGTTACGAATCTGACCACGACATAAACTGTCACACATTAACTGAACTGTTCACATTTACACGGGTCATTGGCCGACAATTGATGTGACACTAATTATCGTGTTACAATAAATTTTCCAATTACATACACTCGTGTTCATACAGATACATTCGATATGTACACTGAGTCAGAGTGTATAGTCTTTTCATACATTTAGCCTGTTCTTACAAGACTTAAGTGTGGGAGAGCCATGCTTTGGCACGAATGGACCGGCTCGACCGGAGTGATACCACGGCCTCACAGAAAACAGACGTGAAACAACGCTTGCATTGTGTTTCGTCGTGTGAGTGAGGTTACCGGAGGCCCAATTACCCCCTTCCCCAGTCTCCCCAATCCCCGAATCCTCCACAATCCTCAGACTCACTTCCCAGAGACACACATCCCAAAAGGCTGGTAACGCACTTGTAACGCCTCTGGTGTTTCGGGTGTCCATGGGCGACGCCGATTGCTTACCATCAAGTGATCCGTCTGCCCGTTTACCGGCTTATCTCATAAAAAAAGACTTATGGGAGGAATATGGAGTAGTTACAAAGTTAATAAGTTCTACTACGCCATCGACAAGCAGCTAGAAAGATGAATGTCCGCAAAAACAATTGAACCGCGCGATTACTTTTACTCGCGATAACTTGCACCTCTCACTGACCTCTGACCTGTACTGTTACATAAGCTAATACCTTAGTACATGACCTTATAGTACCGTAGAACGAGAGAAATCGATTACCATACTATTCGCATCACTACATCACTACATAGTATAAAACAAAGTTGCTATCCGCCGTTTGTCTGTCCCTATTTATTTTAAACCTTTAAAACTACGCAACGGATTTCGATGCGGTTTTTTTAATAGATAGAGTGATGCTTAATGCAGGTTTATATGAATAATACATCACTACATAGTATAAAACAAAGTCGCTATCCGCCGTCTGTCTATCCCTATGTATGCTTAGATCCTTAAAAGTACGCAACGGATTTTGGTGCACCTTTTTTTAATAGGTAGAGTGATTCTTACGGCAGGTTTATATCTATAATACATGCATATTGCAACCGTGCGAAGCCGGGGCGGGTCACCAGTTTGAAATACTTAAACTAATCTGCAAAAATCAAATATCAAACATCAACACTTATGATACGTTGCTTCATCAAAATATTGTCTCCTGACTGATAGTTCAGTTTATAAACATAATATATAATTCCATATTCTCTTCCGAATTCTTGAAGGAAACTTGACATGTATATTTATAAAAATGAAACCCATTTCCCGTTGTCACGCCATAACTTGAGAACGGCTAGACCGATTTGGCTGATTTTTTTTTGTTGTGTTTGTCATTGTTAGGAGAAAGTTCTTATGACAGAAAAAAATCTTGAAAATCCTACGGGAACGGGAGAAAACAGGATTGCGCATACGAAGTCGCGGGCAGAAGCTAGTTTTAAATATTTTTGTTGCCTACTAAAGATAACTGATAAGGGACTACTGACGTAATCAACTTGGTAAAGTTGATTTAATTACGCAGAGCCTCATTAAATAACTCGATTCGTTATATATAGAGGCGATACCCATACGAATATTGATTAAGATCCTCTGAATTATCATCACTCTAATTTACATATCTACTAGACCCACATAAACACTTATTCAATACCAGACTCAAAACAGAAAAAATAATTCAGAATAGAAAACCTTGAATATCAAGTCAGTGACATCGAATAAAATTGATAAAATATTTGTTTACGTATGAGTAAAATAAAAGGAAATAAAATGACATCATCGACCTCAAAATGTAACGCAATAATTCCTTTAGATAAAACCAGAATTAAAAAGAAATAAGGCCATTGGAAACGTGGAGTTAAATCTCGTTAATGGAGGACCGTAGGCGTGATATATTATATCCTGTGGCAAGTTCCAGCTAAATCCATTTATTACACAAAGAATATAAAACTAAATCAAATTTTAAAAAATGTTGTTGTATAGGTATACTACCTATCAATAAAATTGTAAGGAATTTTAATTAGATGGCACAAATAGAAAAAAATAATTAATTGGTATTCTTATCTCGTTTTTAATGAAAGCAACACTATCCATACCAAAAGTCGCATAAAAATACAAGCAAAATAATGAAACTCCAATTTCAAACATAACTTTTTAAAATCCATAAGAAATTCTGAATTCAAATAGTCTTTGGCATGTATTTTCTTTACAGCTAGCCCTAACTTGGAATGCTAAACAAACTCATTGAGCAAGTACTAAGAGTAAAAAGAAACAAACCTGCCTAGAGCTTCGACCTAGACATTCTGGGGACGTTGTCCTCACTGGCCAGTACGCTACAGACCTCCATAGAGGTCGGTCGCCTCCGATACAAACAAAATGCTAAAATTAAACTGGGGCCGCAATGATGTCAGACTTGCAAAAATATTATTATGCTATTTTACATATTTATTGGCTACAATGTCGTTTGAATTGTACATAAATGTCCTTTTCAAATGTATTTCAAGAACATATCCATGTAAATGATTGAATAAGTAAAAGAGTCTGTTTCTTATATAGACGCAGAAAACGCTATCTTTATTACATGCAGAGTTGAGAGTACCTACGTATAATATTGACTGCCTTATGAATAACATTTTTTTTCTGTGTTAGTAACTTTTGAGACTTCTTTGAGATTTCTTCGTACCAGTACATCAGTATTGATAACGATGAATTTATTCCTAAGAAATGCTTAAATCTTTCTTATTATTCTAGTCTAAATGGCAGCCAACTCTTACATACATCCAATCAGAATCATAAGCCTAAAATCTGAAAACGTAACATCTCTTTGAAAGCGTAATATACATACCTTTGACACTACTAACGGCTTAATCACAACCTATGTCCAAATCCACCCTGAATATAACACCCAGAATAACAGATATTAAATTATTACATAACACGCACAGTAACACAGAGTAACGAGTAATAAATATTTAAATCAGTTTAATAGTTCAGTGTGATACTCTATCTGGAACACCGGTAGCGGTGCGTAACTAAATGCACGTTGCAACTCACAAGTCCAAGAACACGCAATAATGTCGAAGACAGCTTAAATGTAGGTATCAAGGAAACTAACTGCTCGGAAACTGGCTTGTTAGTGGCCACGGAAAATAATACAGAAATGACAATTTCAAATGATTAGGGTAGATGCCTAATTTTTATTTTAATGTCCGTCTCGTAGATTATTTTAAATCATAAGACACGTAATTTTAATTTTCTTACAGAAACTAATACTTTCAACGATATATTGATTTGAAATGTCGCGTGACGTCCCTTCTATGTACATTTTATGCGTAGAAATGACAGTCCCCACTTATAAACTTTGATTTATTTTATCTAAGTATTATTTTATTATACAACAAATTAAAAAAATACGTGTCTAATATTTTTTCATTATCTACCTTAAGGACTAATTAGATTTTTAATTTTCATACCCCGTCATCACCCCAATTGAAGACAGAAAGCATTTATTTGGCACAGAAATTAAAAAAAAAACACACAATACAAAAAAAGCAATAAAAGAAAATACTCTAAAAACAGAATAGCGAATGAAAAATAAAACAACATGCCTATGCCAAACGGGTCGCCAACTCAGCATACGCCAGGCGCATTCAGCATCTAACGCTGATTTTCAGTTGACACCACCGCAGTGACGTGCGTACGGAAGCAACGCAACGCCACTTTAGCGCTTGTTTATAGACAGAGTAGAAATCAAAATGTATGGGAATGACACTGACAAGTGTCAAAATTTACGTCAATTCCATATAATTCGGTTTTCTATTCTACATGTAGACAAGCGCTAAATGGCATTTGGCTACAGCTGCAGGTTTGCCCTGTTGTTAAACACACAGAATTTGTGTAACAAAAGAAATAAGAA